AAAGTAATGAAGCTTGAGAGAGCATTCTTGATTTTTGCAAGTGTTGTTGAGTTGATTGTTGATTTTTATATGTGTTATGTTCTTTTCTTTATCAGTAGCTGATATTTATAAGCTCTTGACTCTTTCATGTTCTTTTGTAGTGCTCCATGATCTTTGGTAGTACTCTATGTTCTGTTGTGGCTTTATATTCTTGTGACGCAATACTTTATTATCTTGATCATATCCTATTTTCTTATATAACTAATTTTCTCCTAACATTTAGAAAACATCTCATGTAGTTATTTTGTTATAGTTAACTTTTCTATTTGTTAGGAACTCCAAATAATGGGTATAACAATCATATGACGAAGAAGGATTATCCTCACCGTGTACTCCAAAGATCCATAAGTCTCCGATAATAATAAGAAAAAAAGAATATAATTAAATATAAAGCCTTGAGCATTGGTTTGGAAATGGCACTTAACATGGAGACCAAATGAAAGGCAAGTCGGGATATTCAAATCGGAGCCTTATGGCCACACTAGAATGAACGAACAACATGATGAAAAGTCAGAATCACTGACAGCGAACTCAAACATAAATGGGTAGGTGATATGATGCGTTTTTTTTTTTTTTTTTTTTTAACAATACGAATTTCTAGCATAATCATTCTATCCTTGTCAATGAGAATTTTTACAATGGCCCATTTCTTACAAGTGTCTGGGCCTGTGTGAGCCTCTTGTGGTTTTTTGAATTTTTCTTTATGGACTCGGGAGTTCGCAGTGGCTCAGTCTACTAAGGATATATGACCTCTATCTTTCTTCTTTATTTGGAGGGTTTTTTCAATAACGAATCAAATGGATCTATTCTTGAAAATCTTTACGACGCAAGGGTTCTTCGTTTTATTTTAAAAAGAAAAAATAGTAAAAAAAAAAAAAAACTATTTTGACTCCACAATCACCAATGAGTGGTAGTGATAAAAACAAATCAATTTTAAGAATAACATATGATATAAAACCTTTAAAACTTCTCAATTATTAAACAATTGGACAACAAATATCGGATAACCCCATAATGTTGGGGGTTGCAACTAACTAGTTCGTATTCATAACTCATATCTTTAAATTGCCTTTGACGTACGTTTTTTTGTTTTTCTTCCATTTGCTTAAAAAATAACTCCTGTAAATAAAATTATGCAAGACAGAAAAATTATTAACTTTTTTTTCTGTGAAAAAAAAAAAGGAAAATCAAATTTTTTAGCTATACAAATTCTCAAAATTTATAATCAAGCAAACAAACGAGGTGAGAAGAGAGAGACCTGTAAGTAATAGAAAGAAGAAGAAGAAAGGGCAAAGCCAGAGGTTAGAGAGATGGTGACTTGATGAAAGTGATTGGTTTAGTAGTGGGTCTTCAGTTAAGTCACAAAAGAGAAGCTTTTGTGTGGGGGGGTTCAAAAAATAAATGGAGAAAATTCAAAGGTGCAGAGGTGTCAAATTATGTAAGCACATCCAAATCCAATAGACAGGGAATGTGCAGTGAATAGTTAACTCTATTTCGTTTAATTCGCTGATTGAATTATGTTGTTTTGACAGGCTGAAAATTAACGTTTTCTTTCTTTATTTTTTCTCTTTTAAACTTTCCGTGTTGGAATTCGCAATAAGAAAATGAATTATATAGTTTTTTTTATGTTCATTGTCAAGGAATTAGTCAATGCATGCAAAACCATTGTTTTATATTCTTCTACACACTTTCTTAAGTAAAATCTTACTTTTTGAAAAATACACAATCAAAAGATATTAATATACTATATTAATAAGGTGTAATTAATTCAAATTGCATTCGTATCCTTTCTTTTTTAAAAGGTTGTATACTATATAAAAAGAATCAAACAATTCAAAAATTTTAAATTTCTTAGCATAATTTTTTGATTGATCTTATTATACATATTATTTAACATATATATTATTCTGAAATGAAAATTTTTTGGTCTTTAAACTTATACACATGTATATTATCTATATATTTTGTAATATTAAATTTGTAAAATCCCTATTTTGAGATTTTGTGTTTCTATTAAATCGGCAAATAAAATCTTATGTAAATAATTTGACAAATTTGATACTATATTCGTTATATTTAGACTATTTTATCCGAGCACCCTCATATCTTAATAAATATTTGAAAAAAAAACTAGGTTTACAAAGAATATTAGATTTATTAAATGAAAAACCTAAGGTAAAATCAGCTTTTTTCTATTTTTATTTTCCTAAAATATACACTATGCATGAAGTGTGGGGTTATGAGAGAGAGTGAGTGCATGTCTCACATCAATTTTTTTTTAAAAAAAATTAAGACTGGAGATTTTAGTTAAAATTGTGTACGTACTATATGGCTAATATTTTTATATATATCATCAAGATTTGGTTGTTTGCTAAAGATTTAAGATAGTTGGATCGAATTGTACGTCTAGATATAACGAGTACAGAATCAAATTTATCAAATTATTTATAGGATATTTAATTTATCGATTTAATATAAATATAGAGTATCAAAATATGTTTTTCTATTAAATTTCTAATTGTGAAAATGAATCAAAATGGTGCGATTTAAACTCAGAAATCACAGTACTGTAGAAACTTGAATCATGTTGAATAGCCATATAACTTAAAAATTGAAGCTCAATATATAATGATTTCATATCAATTGGAATCGGAAAATTCCATGTGCAATTAATTAAAATTAGAAGGATATCAACATGATAAGTCTTAGGGTAACTTATAAGTGGGACCCAATTATATTGGTCAGATGTCATCTGCATCAAAACGTCCATCTCGGGTTTCTTCACTCTCAAATCATGACATGTAAGAAATTGATTGCTAGATGTTCAAAATCAACCAGATCAGGTTTAATGCCAAAAAATATATATAATCACATGCCAACCTAATCTTCGTTTGCGATTAAGTCCCAAGTAATTACGATTCACCAACAAATCCCAAAATAAAAGTTAGTTAATTGAACAAAGTTTGATCAATATCATTAGCTTCTTCACCGTGGTTTCATCGATCCACGTCTGTGTATGATGTTATATATGCATGCACCCAAAAAAAGTGGAAAAGAGAATAATTAGGAGGGTGGGGGGCCATAAGTTAATCTGGAAGGCATGTTATTATGCTTCCAAAAACCAGACATAAGGGGATTTTCGCTACTTCTAGAATAGATCTTCCTGGGTATTCTAGTGTATCTATATAAATATCTCTCTCTCTAGGATTCTAGGGTTTACATGCACTTGTGTTGATATATATATATATATATATATATATATGAACAAATAAAACAACAGTAAATAAATCTGATTGTTAGATTCCATTCACATCTATTTTTCCACTTGTTGAGTCAATTTTTAACAGCTAGCTTTCACGATAAACGAAACTTTTACAAGATATTTACTGTAATTGATATTCATGACTACAAGAACTCGTAGCAACAAATTAAAGATGTAAAATACACTCACATAAACTAAAATTCGATGTAAGCTAACTAACTTTTCTTTTCTAGAGATTCATGAAACTAACTTTTAATATTAACATAAATTAATGATAAATAACAAATACTTGAGCTGGAAATTCATACATATAGGAGGTATTTTCTTATTTTTTTTTAAGATTTTTTTTATATCTATATTCCATGGTATATTCATATATATTTCTTCCCTTTTGTGCTTTTGTCATTTTCTAAATAAAAATGCCCTCCAGAACTTCAAATATATATATATATATATATATATATAAGGAACTAATGATAAATTAAAGCGAACCTATGTTATACGAAGCGTATTTCTTTGACATAGGCCTATTTTTATCAGAAGGCTTCATGGATATGTTTTTCTTTTTTCTTTTTTTAGATCTTACAAGTTAGTTTATTTTTTTATATTTTCAAAAAAAATTCTAGGATTTTTAATATCTATTTGTGGAGTTTTCTGCGGTTTTAAATTAAAAACAATAATAGTGAAAATCATTTTTTTCTAAAAATTAATTTTTCTTTTGGTGGTTTCATGAGAATTTTTTTTCAAAAAAAAAAAAAAAAGACATTTGAAAGAAAATATGAATAATAGTGAAAATCATTTTTTTTGTTTCTGCGTGTCCAAACATTAAATTTTTCCAATGCATTATCGATTACTTGCCTACTGATCAAAATTAACATAGCAAATTTCATTTCAGTTTATTTAGTAATATTACTCCTCCGTCCGTCCCATTTTATTTGACCACCTTTTGATTTAAGGATGTTACAAAATATTTGCTCTTTTTTTTTTTTTTCTAAATAAAATAGGCGAAAAGAATAATGTTCCAACTTTACCCTCAATCATTTAAGTAATTATAACTTTCTTAATTTAAAATATGTGGACTTTTTACACTTTTTTAAAAATAGGAATAACAGTGAAATTTTACACAAAGTACAAGATAATATATAATATTTTGATAAATAGTTAAAAATCCAATAATAGACAAACAAAGTGATACGGAGAAATTGCTATGTTATGATTTACTAGTGTAAAAAAGAAGCTTGGCATCAACTCATACGTCTGCAAGGGAATCTCAAACCTAGCAAAGGTTGAGGGCAAAAAGGGTAATGATGCGTAATAAGAATCAAATGATAGAGGCTAAATTACGTACAAAAGTACATAAAATTATTGTATGCATGATATATATATATATATATATACACACACCCTACATGTTGTATGGTTTAATTTAGGGAAAACGTAGAGGTAATGGTGGCTATAGGCACTAATAAAAACAAAAAAGAGAAGATCATAAAAATGAAAACAAATAAAAGAGAAAACAGAAAGCAACGGCATTGGCCCATGGTATGTCTACTCACCAGCCTCTATGATGTGAACTCCATCTTCCTCCCCACTCCCATCCGCTATTATTTTACCCCCGGCCGGTGCTCGATCTTGTTTCTTACCATATTTAGTAAAAGAGAGATCATAATATTCACATTAATCTTCATCAAAAGCAACGATGTCCAGAGAAAGAGGAAAGGACATAGCTGAAGGATCTAGTGAGAATCAACAGCCAGCAACGCCTAGTCGTTATGAGTCACAGAAGAGAAGGGATTGGAACACTTTTGGGCAGTACTTGAAGAACCAGAGGCCTCCAGTGCCACTTTCTCAGTGCAATAGCAACCATATCCTAGATTTTCTTAGATATCTTGATCAGTTTGGCAAGACTAAGGTTCATCTACAAGGTTGCGTGTTTTATGGACAGCCTGAGCCCCCTGCTCCTTGTACTTGCCCTCTTAGACAAGCTTGGGGCAGCCTTGATGCTCTTATTGGAAGGCTTCGAGCAGCCTATGAAGAGAACGGAGGCACACCAGAGACAAACCCTTTTGCTAATGCTTCTATTCGGGTTTACCTAAGAGAAGTGAGGGACTATCAAGCAAAGGCAAGGGGGATCCCGCACAAGAAGAAAAAGAAGAAGCAGATTTCAAGCAAAGGGGATGATGAATCCAGCTCTGCGATGCAGTTTTCTTAAGAAATCCATTTCGCTTTCCAGGATCTGCGAACGTATGGTAATTGATTAAATCCCTTACCACATTTGCTTTTTGCCTTTTTTATGATATATATACGGCGTGCTTTAAATAAACTAATCTACCTAGCTCAATTTACCCATTAAAAAACTCAGTTTTTTGAGCTCATAATTCACGAGCTCATAATTCACACCTAGGAGATGATTGATTATAAATTTAGTAATATTTAAATTCTTAATCATTGAAGAACTACAGTACTATAAAGGAATGCACATAGTTTTTTTTTTTTTCTCTTCTTTTCTTTTTGCCTATCCCTCTAAAACAGATAATTGTTTATAAAAATCAATATTATATGTAACTGAATCATAACATTTTCTTTAAGATCTCACTTATTTAATCCGAAATTTAAGAACCCTAATTTGAATATTCACAAAAAGAGTGATTAATGAAATGCTAGATATGAAACTGTCTTTTTTTCTTTCATTCTTTCTCTTTTTATGAATAAGTTAAATCTCTTTTCCTTACTCTAAAAGATTGTGTTTACACTGGCAAGAATTTGCAACTCAAAACATTAAAAACATCGGTGAGATTAATGTAGTTTGCCTAGCTACATCTTTTACTCCAACAAAAGTAGTGCCAATTGTGGAAGCATACGAAGAAAACGCTCTCTCTCTCTCTCTCACACACACGCCCAGACTCAAAACGAACATCACGCAAAAGAACTGATCAACTTGCGGTTTTAAAATTTTATATCATTTACTGCATGTTACTTTTCTTTAGGTTTGTTCTTTTAAGATTCTGAAGATTTTCTGCCCCCATGAATAAACCAAGTGAGATATGATGCGATTTTCCATTTAACTTATAATAATTAACCAAAGTTTAAGGTTTCATGCAAATCTCCTTAAATAATAAATTTAGTGTTCCATGCATGCCTTCTGTTGGACACTTTCTTGTTTATAATTCTGTAAAACAATGTCGTGGTTGTTACTAGCTTGTTAATCTCCATGATGTACGAGAAAGTAATTAATAGTGCTAGCTAGGCTAATAATATATCATGGTTTTGTTAATTTAACAACACAAACTTCAAGCCATGCCCTACCAATTCCTTTTTCTATACAGCGGCAGATCTTTGTGAGGGCAATTTTGAACATTAGTATCCTTCCCTTTGTACCTTCATAGATTTGCATGTTGTCCTATTTCAGATTTTGTGGGGGCATTAATTTATTCCATCTTGTATGTCAATACATGCTTTTATTGTGTATTTTGTTTATTTGTGTGGTAGCCGACTGTTTTGGATGATTGGAGGTGAGTTTACGCTCCAAAAAAGCAAATCATATATAGTCTATGCATTTTGCTGTCATATATATACTCTTAGCCCTAATACTATGAGCTAATATAAAATTTAAAAGAGTTTTTGCTTGATCAGATAGTATCCAAATCTGTTGACAGAAAATTATTTTTTACTTTTCATTTAATAAAATTTAGAATTAAATACTCATTATATATATATATATATATGTGTATATATATATGTATGTATGTGTATACATATATGTATATATGTATGTATATATATCTGTGTGTGCTGTTGTTTTTCACAGAACTTAAAATGACACGCTTTGAAAACTAGATATATAGAGTGTTTATATATATTCTTCTACCAGATCGAATATCTGTCTGACTTTATTATCATATATATATATATATATATATATATATATATATAAACATTCTGTTGTTATGTATGTCTCTAATCTGTTTTTTAACCACACACAGGTATAAACAAATTAAGGGAAAATCTTTAGGCATCATTGTATGTACGTGACTGTCATTATAGAAAATTGAAAGCAATGAAGAATCTATATATAGTAAATCAAAGGAATCGTGGAGTACATATGTCTATATTAAGATACACAAAGATCAAAGAGTTTGTAGTCCAGTAGGAGTTATTTTTTGTAAAAGATTATGAGATTAAATCCTAACAAACTAGTTCTACTAGATCCTCAACTATATGAATTATTAAAAAAAAAATTAAGATGCACAAAAAAAAAATTAGAGTTCAACAATCTAGCTACATCTAGGATCTACTAGGCTTTCTGTAATTAACTCTCTTTCAATCAATCCATGACCGAATCTATGCAACAATTTCCGGCCATTCACCCTTGCAAGTATAGAAGCATTAGATAATCCAAGTTCGATGGCACAAGCAACAACCTGACCCACTTGTTCACTTGGCCATGCGTTTTTTGGGGAATTGAGTACAAACCTATGCAAGTAGAGAGGGAAGCAGCCAGCCTTTCTCCACAACAGTCTCTATTTTGTTCTCCAAGTTTTGATGTGGCCTCCTTTCTTGTGGTAATAAGGTTGTCTGGTTGCATAGCCTGTTAGCAAATATATATATATATATGTATGTATGTATGTATCGACAGTTACGTACTTAGGTTTTCGGATCAACTTACCGCAAAAGTACATTTCGTATGTACCCAATGTGGACATTGTGCATGCTTGCACTAAAACTGAAATTTAGGTGTATAGATATATAGCATTCTGGTACTTCTTCCATGCTACACATACATAATTAGATGAACTTGGTCTATTGGTTAAACGAACTATACTGTCATAATTTACCGCACCGACTAGCTAAAGCAATAGGATTAACTGCAACAACCAATTATAGGCACTAGAATCCATTGCACCAACTAATTAAAATTCTTTTTGATCCAATAGACAAGGTTCATGTATGTAAATTTTTTTTTTCAGCCCAAGGAATGCATATATATATATATATATACTGATTGGAACCGAGCCTCTAGCACTAGACTCAAAGGCAAAGTAAAGCATAACTGCCATATGTCTAGCCTTCCAGTTACCAGATCGCACTTAAGGACACTTTATTATTGCGTTGCGAGCTTATAAACTGAGAAAAAACAAAGAGGAGAACACACACACATATATATAACATCCTGATGGCTCAAGAAACAACCACAGAAGCAGCAACTAAAATTTTATTGTGACCACTAAAGTAGTACTTATATATCATGCATTACTTTCTTCACACAGTAGGATTTTGGCATGTAAGAGTAAGTTAGAAGTAATCTTTGAGTCTCATCTGACAATCAACTTACAGTGGAATTCTAGTTAGTCTGTTTTCGTTAACGTTTAGGATACTATACAACGTCTGAAAACCTAATATTGTTACAAAGAGAATCCAGAGATTATCCTGTGGAGTAGCGAGCTTATCTAACTAACTATTGTTTGAATTTGAATGTGCTAACTGATGTATGTACTTGACTAACAGCCCCCTTCAAGCTTAGGGTCACTTGAAGTGAAACGAAGCTTTTTCCTTAGATAATGAAGACGGTATTTAATTGGATAGGGGTTTAGTGAAGATGAACTTCTGTGAGAATGTAAGCAACATGCCATTAGACCTTGAGCATCTTGTTTCCCGAGAAAATGATAGTCCACCTCTATACGCTTCGTTTTTGCTTTAAATACTAAATTGCAAGGCAATTATGTGGCTCATATATCATCACACCACGAAGTAGTTAGGGTTTTAACAGTATATTGCACTCCTAGTTCCTTCAGTAAGGATTGTAACTTCTGCATTTAGTACTGTTGAGACTTAAAGCAATTTAACCTGAAGAGAGAATAATTTTTCCATACATATTTTATATAAGGATTTCTTGTTACAATCTGATTATACAAAGATTTAACAATAGAAAAGATACACAAAGAAAACTGTACAGGATTAATAGCTTGTCGAAAAACCAACTAAACCGAAAAAGTTAAGTTGTTGGTGAAGTTTTAAAAATAATTTTATATTATTTTTTAACATATTTTTTTAAATAAAAATCTTTTAAAAATTCGCAACCTTTTGATCCTTGAGACTTTGACACTATATCAAAAAATTATTTTAACTTAGAAACTTAGATTATTCGTCAAGTTTCAAGAATGGTTTTATATTATTTTCTAACATAGCTTAACTTTCTAACAACTGGAACTCTAGTCTTATGTGACAGTAAGTTGTTCATCTATGTTGTTGCTGCTATTTATCGTGTTACCTTCACCCTTATCTGATATCATTAGAGAGTAAGTGCGCATAGATGTTGTTGCTGGAATTGTTGTTGGGTCGGACAGCAGCTAATTAACGTCTGTTGTTGAGTTTGTTGCTGATGTCTTAACATTGAGAAAAGCAACTTGCATGAACAAGTTAAATGGCAGCACCTGGAAGTATGTAGAGGGCTGCAATTGAAGCTGAAATCCCTCGCTAAAGTCACCCAAGTTGTAATTTTAAACACTTAATATCTTTAGCAATTTAAGTTTGTTAGCATGTAGGTGGCTGGGATTGACGCTGAAATCCCTAACTAAAGTCACACGAGTTGTAATTTTAGACACTAATTAAGTATCCTTAGCAATTTAAGTTTATTAGCATGCATTGAACTAGAAAAATCCCTATCTCCAGCCATGTACAGGCATTAGTTAAGGCTTTTATAATACACATATAAAGGCAAGTAATCTGCATCCATGCTTTATGATTTAGGAATGACTAGTATGAGTTACTGTGTTTCAGCTATTGGATCACCATTCAAAACCAAGAGAATGTGCATGAATACTAAAGAAAATGAAATTTTCAACTAATCAACAGCTAAAACATATATAGTGCTCATGCTAGTCATTCTTGTGAAATTTTGGTCGTGTAATAGCAACGGCTTAACCTAGTTATATACTATATAATAAAGCATAAGTTTCTGTCAGTGCCATCGATCACTTTCTTCTATGTTTGCCACATTCTTAAAGGATTACTACTCGTACGCTATAAAAAGGGATTGATGTTGATTGAGATAATATAAAGCAATGCAAAGTTTCTATTATAGATTGAATGGCAGATTTGAACTCTTCATGGCTTTTTCCTCCTTTCTTTTTTTGTCTTTAACGATTTAAATTGGAGTGTATATAATATCCTTGCAGCATCGGCTTCAAGAAGGACTCTAATAAGAAGGCTGTT